AAGCAAGTGCCCTCCTCACTTCAACATAAGAATGAAGGCTTCTCGTCTAGAGAAGGCAGTACAGAGACAGAGGGTCTTTGGACCAGGCCCAGTTGAAGGAGAGAGTAATGTACAGAGAGAAGGGGGTATTAAGTGACCATGTGCACTAAACATTAAAATCTCTAGACTTTTTTTCTACCCAGAAACCAGCATTCTGGCAGCTGAACCTACACCCTCCAAAACAAAGTTTAAAAAATGGTTTTCTGTGGCCTCTGACCAGCCTAAGAGGAAAACTGCCAAGGACGATGACCTCAGGATTCCTCTGAAAACACCTCACCCAGATAAGTCTACAGTGAAGCTTACAATTGAGAAGCCCCACTACCTGCTCAACAGAGCTTCTAATCAGCCTTCCAGCTCCCTTCCCTTAAACATCGACAGACAACCAAGAATCACAAAACAGTGGTCTCTGTCTTCCCTATCATAGAAGGTGGGAGTCCAAACAAACAAACAGAAAAAAAGAGGGGAACAAGAGGGAACAAAAGAAGACTCCCTATTGCAAATAAGACAAACAAAGAAAACTGCTGCTAACATCCTCAGGGAGATAAAGAAATAAAAGAGCATCTGAGAAACAAAACATGATACTCTAAAAGGGAACAGCAAAATAGCTCTTGGAGGTTAAAATGATAGCAGAAAATTTAAAAATCTAAAGAAACATTAAAAGATAAAATTGACAAAAATCTCTTGGAAAGTAAAGAAAAAGACACAAAGATGGAAGACAGAGAGGACTGTATGAAAAAAAGAACAGAAAACGCCCCATTAATAATTTTTTATATTGATTACATGTTGGAGTGATAATATTTGAGAATATTGGGTTGAATATTAAAATTAATTTCAATTGTTCCTTTTTCCCTTATTAAATGCAATGCTAGAAAATTTTTAATTATATATGTGGCCCTCATATCCAGTGATCTTCTTCCCATTCCAGCTGCCACTCCCATGTCACACCTGGAACTCACAACCTTCACAACTCCTCACCTCTGAGATAACCCACACAGACATCCCACTCCAGGAGCTCAGCTTCCTCCCCTTATTCCAAGCTTTTGTATTCAAGTCCTCCTAATGGACCTGTTCTTGACCTTCAGGCCACTGACCTCTGGTCTTTCAACCCCTCCCATCTCTGCTTCCTCCTCCACAGACCCTGCCTTCTGTCACTTTCACCATTCTTTTGCCAGTCCTTACTCTTTTGCCTCATTCCTTAGTCTGAGCCACCTGGCAAAACCTCAACCCTGGCTAAAACCATTGTCCTCCCAGATGCACCCATGTGAAGGTGGCCCGTCAAGGCTGGAGAAAATCACAGGACCACACAGATTAGCACACTGCATATTCAGGTCTCAGATCCCAGCTGGACTCTACACGCTGCATCCTGGGGCTTCCCCAATCTGCTCTCCCACCTGTTCTCACAGTGACTGCAAATCCTCTCTACTTTTTCAAACCTGTCCTCCCCCTCCTCCTCTCTGCAGAAAGCCTCACCTCCTACCATCACATAAATAGAACAGCCAGCAGGTGAGGACTCTATGTACTTCCTGCTATAAAAATTAAAGCTACAATTTCTCCCATTTATGACAGAAGAGGCCCTCCTCACACCCAAGCCCAAGCCCTCTTCCTGGGCTCTGTTCTGACAAGGTTTCCTCTTGCTTTCTCAGATGCCATCTTCTCCAACTATCCTGTACTCTCAACCTACTAATTCCTTCCCATCAACATTTAAGTAAGGTCAACTTTCTACAATCTTACAAAAAAACAAAAACAAAACCAACTCTCCCTCAACTCCATATCCTCCCATGGGTACCACACTCTGCACTCCCCTTTACAGACTACCTTCTGAAAAGAATTGTCCTCATGAACTCCCTTTATTTCCTTTCTTCCCACTCCTCAATCCCTTGAGAGCTGCCTCCCTTTCACCTCTAAAAGTACTCTCATCAGGTTTCCCCAGGACTTCTTTTAGCTAAACCCCGTGGACCTCCTCAGGCTCTGTCCTCCTCTGTAGGTCTGACATTGCGGTGGACTCCTTCTCACTCTTTTCAGACAAGCTCTTTCCC